AGTGTGAGCGGCCGACTGGGGTTCAAGGAGACAGAAGCAGAGATACAGAAAGAAGCAGAGATATAAAAGGCAACTGTAAAAGGTGGCCCCGTCCAGGAAACACACAGCCAGGCAGAAGAGCTCCAAGCCAACTCCCATGTCATCATATTACTTGATGATATTCCACAGTTTTCTATTTCAAAACTTAAATCAAAGATCGCTCTGTATTTCAAACACCCCTGGTTCTTCAAGGGATAATAAGTCTGTGCAGGAAGTGTTTCAGTTATCCAGAAGAAAATGTGTTTGTCATCAGAAAGTGAACTCTCCCCGCTCTTTCTGCAGTGCAACTCTTCTGCAACTGCGGCACTTCCTGTAACACTACCGACTTATTAGCAGTACAACATATTCATGAGCTATAGGTGAGCCCTGGTGTAAATTTTTTTAATTTAAGTGTGTTTTCATCTGACAAAAAAAATCAAGAATAAATAAATAAAGGACAGAGAGGCAGAAATTTACTTTTTTTTCTGTGGCTGAAAAAGGAAAACTAAAGTAGGGCAAAGGCTGAAGATTTCAGAGATAAAAAAAAAAAGCTTTTTGAAGTGATTGAAAGACCGTGAAGGGATACATGAGTTTAAATGCTGTCGTTCAGATACAACACCACAGTGCATTTGTGATCAATCTGATAACTCTGACCAGATGCAGTGTTATCCAGCAGGACTAACATTTAATGTTAAATATTCATGTTTTTCTTCTAAGTGACAACAGCATTACATAAAACTCAAGCAAAGTAGATGCTTTTGAACACTTTTAAACACATCCCTCCCCCAATAAAGAAAAATAGAGGCAGTAGAGAAAAATAACATATTGCAGCCATCTATCCAGTTTCCCTTAAAATAAAACTAGTGAGGCCACAAAAGTCTAGATAATGTCTGATGTTCAGCTGGTAATCTATTAACTGACATGTTGAGGACATTTCTGCAGGTAACCAGCACAGATAAGGTCAGATGACAGAGAGAAACAAACATTAAAGAGTATTTAGACTTGGTAGAACAGATGCATGATGCTTTAAATAGCATTTTTATTCATTGGTCTGGTCTGTGACTCCTGATGAATGTTTTAGGATAATAATGGAAACTTTTTTTTAAAAAAAACTCTGAATTTGTTTTTGGATGTTTTGGTTTGTTAAATTGGTATCAAGATACTACACATGAGATTAAAATGCAACACTCACCCTTCGAATTTCTCGCATCTCTGCATGAAGGTGTTTTTAAACTCATTGCCTCTGCGACTCAAGCTCACTCCTAAAGCGATTGCAATAATTAGGAGAAGAACCACTGCAAGTACAGCCACAATACAGCAAAGTCTCCTGCTCTTCTTTCTAGAGCCGCGAATCTCTCCGCTTTCCATATTTTTAAACCTTTAGGAGCTGAACACTACTAGCAGACTGAATTGTGTGCTGGAGCGTCACTTAGGAAAGCGCTTCTATTTATAGTCGCGGTGCGGGTGAGCCACCAACGCGCGTGACGTCGAGAAGAGTAGACTGATAATTCACTGAAGTTTTTTTTTTTTATAATTACTATTAAACTTCAACATCTCCCGCATATTCCATCCGCAAAACGTCAACCAAATAATTTTTTTTAAAACCTTAAGCATCCCTGATATTACGCCACTAACAGGTATTAAACAGTAGGCTACTTTTTAATGAGGGAAAGGAACAGAGAAAAAACTAACGGTGTTCATTCATCAAAAGCAATGAGGCTTTTTCTAATATTATATAAACTGGCTTGGATAGCCTATGCCGGATTACTCTGAATGCAGACGTTTTGAAAAATGTTTATGATTATGTATAATAATAATAATAATTTCTTATTTTCTTATTATTAATAATATTATCATTATGTTCTATTTTTTATATTATGTTGTGTTTAGTGAACTGACTGCTTCCACTTGACCAGAATTCTCTTAAGGATGACAAATAAAAAGTCATGATTCCTAATCTGTTTGTTGCCTGTAGCAACAACTTTCAAGTGATTGAATTTGGAATCACTCTTTTCCATTTCAAGTGATGGATCCTCGACAGTCTGTCCAACCTTTGCAGAATTATTTTGTTTTTATTTCAGGAAGCTATAGCTTTAAGTCTATGATAGCAGATTTCAGGCTAGACTTTGACTAGGCCAGTCTTAAAATCTTGTCCTGCTAAATAATCTGAATGCATACAATTAGGGATGCACGATATTGGGATTTTGGCCGATATCCGATATGCCGATATTTTAAAACTCATGTAGCCGATAACCGATATCGATACCGATGTTAAAGCTGGACAAAAATAAGTAGTCATTGAAAATAACAGTTTTGTTATCCATTTCTGAGACTTATATACTCAAATATATTTTCATATGCTGATATGAAATAGATTTTTAAAAACGCGGTATCGATCTATTTTACTTTCAAAATCTCATGAAATTTCATCGTTCTGTTACAAACTCTTGGATATTTTGCAATTTCTTGTGAGATTTTGTTAGTAAAATAGATCTATACCGCGTAAATATATCAACATATAAAAATATGGCAAAATTTTGTGAATTTTCGGGGGATTTCGTAGCATAACGATGACATATAGCAATATTTCATTAGTAAAAGAGATTGATATGGTGTTTTTAAATGGCAATATATCAGCATATGAAGATATTGTGATATTTTAATGTATCAATATTTTTCCCTCGTCTTTAGAAGTTTTTAAGTCTGTAAAAAATAAGTTTTTAAGGAAGAAGAAGTAGTATTTTTTTTTAGACTTTAGGAACTCAGAAGCTGATCAAATATTGGGTTAAATATCGGTGTGGTGGCCGATGTCCGAGATTCAGTTTTAAGGCCGATACAGGCCGATACCGATAGAGGGCCGATTATATCGTGCATCCCTACATACGATGCATATGTTATTGGTGGTCGCATCATTTATGACAAGTTGTCCAAGTCCTCAAGCAGTATGGGTAGTTACCTGGGATCTGAGGGATATCAGTGGGACAGTCGGCAAGTATATAATTCCCCGTGATGCCAAAATATGACGCTAAAACATCATGGCAAAAAAAACAAAAAAACAAAAGGAATTGTGCATTTTGAATAAACAGAATAATAGGTGTAGAGGTTACCCAGGCTTGTAGCCTGTGATTGTCAAGATTTGGTTGTGGTTAGTGGACCCAAATGCAGAGGTGAGAGTCAGGGGTGAGTTCTTGCAGTTTCTTTAATGAATAAAAACAGGTAACAGAGGCAGGAATCCAAAAATCCAAATTAAAAATGTAAAGCAAACCAGAACCATGGAGACATCAGGGGGAAACAATCACAAGTAGCTAGGGTGAGACGAGGTAAGGTGAAGTAAGACGAGGAACTGCACAAGGAGTGTATTTATAGTAGACTGAACAAAGAGAGGACTAACAAGCAGATTGGGAGCAGGTGTGAACAGAGCAGCAAGGGAAGGAGCTAGGGAAAAAGAGACCAACACAAGAGGGCTACAGAGGGAAACAAATAAAAACTTTAGAGCTCAGAAAATACAACAAAATAGGAATAAAACCAATAAAACTAGAAAACATGGAGCAAAGTAAAATATAACAGAATCAAGACCATGACAGTAATCTTTTATACAGTGACAATTGTCTCTAAGAAACAGGGTAAAAAACAGTTACAGAAACAGCCAATAGACAATATTTCCCTTCTTGTTAATGGTTAAAAACTGCCTGAAATTATAATCCTAGTATTTGACATTAACTTGTGCTGAAGAGAAAATCGGTTTTAACAGCCGATCCGAATGTCCAGCCTCACAAGTGAGCAAGATAACGCCTGTTATTCATAATAAAACCAGTAAAACTGCATGAAACTCTGCTGACGAAATGTGAAATTTAAATCATACAGTAATCCAGTGATTTAGCCCAGAAATATCATCACTATTATCAGATGCACTTGAAGAGCACAAAAAGGGATTGAAAAAGTTGTAAACAGCTGTGATTATTACTACTTCATGTAGTGTGGTGTTGTCAGCTAGTTTGTGCTGAACACACCTTCCCTGGGGCCAGCTGAAGCTGGGGAAAGGTTGCACAGAGTATAAATGCTACAGACACTGTGAGAGGTGGCTCATTTTCCATGTGGATTGTATGTGCATCAAGCATAATGAACCCTTTACACTGCTGTAGTAGATCCTGGCACGAGACAACATTTCCACCAGCTCTGCTGTGGGAGCCCCTGCTGTAGTTGAGGGTGATTACCTTAGCTTGAAAGTAGGTTGAATTCACTCCAAAAAAATATCAAATACTGTACATACCAACAGATAAATCAGCCTTGATACAGAAATGTTTCAGACCAATTAAATGTAATCATGTGTATGATGTCATTGCAAAAACAAGAGAAGGGCGGCTGAAGCAAAAAATCTCTGATCAATGAAAAAACCTGAAAAAGTTTGACACCACAAGAAATTAAAGAGGCACTGAAATGCATGCAAAAGATAAAAGTCTTGAAAATTACGTAAATACAGTTGAATTTTATTTACACTTCTCTGATTAAATTGAAAATCCGCTGTTCAATCTCGTTCAGCAATGCATCAACAAAGAAGTAATGTCCACTGTGTGACACAAGGGCTAATATGCCTCATTCCTAAAGCTGGAAAAGACACACTCATCATTGAAAATTTGAGCCGGATAACTTTATTAAACACTGATTATACAATATTTGGCCAAATCTTAGCCAAACGTTTAAAAGAATAACCCAACTCGCCGACGATACTACTCTTTTTTTGAGAGATAAACATCAGGTTCCACATGCTATATCCTTAATTGATTAATTCTCCAATGCTCTGGGTCTGATCCTTAACAAAGAGAAATGTATAAATCTATGTTTGTATGTATCTAATGTCAGACACATTTGTAACCTTATGGTGAAAGAGATTGTTAGATATCTTGGTATTGAGATTTGCAAAAACCATAATGACCGTCGACAGCAGAACTTCACTCACAGAACAAAGAAGGTTAACACCATGTGCAATATGAGGCTTCAGAGAGAGATTTCTGTTCTCTGAAGAGCCTTACTAGCTAAAACACAGGGAATAACAAAGACTGGTTTATACAACCCTTTCACTATTCATCAACAACTCTACAGCCCAGGACATCAACAGGAGAATCATCTGGAAATCAAAGAAAATAAATCGTAAACCAATCATACTCACAGGCCCAAAGAATGACGGAGGAATTGAAATGATGGACTTCATAGACATGAACAATACATTCATAATCAAATGGTTTCAACAATGTTTAAAAAAATATGCACTTCCTCTTCAACTTCCTTTTAAATGAATTAGGTGAACTAATTACAGCATAAGCAAACATCCAATCAAACTGTCAAATTGTCAACAACAAGCACTGTTTGGCTCATTCTTGCACAGACTTTCAGATGCTCAGAAAAAGAAAATGGCCGTCAATAAAAAAGCTCACTTTCAGAAAATGTAGGTTTACAAACCTTGGCAAATATCATGTGGTTGAGCTCATGTCTTTCATTCCTCAGCGTTATTATTGACTTCCTAAAACCATTTTTAACTTTTCTTATAAACCATTTAACTGTATTTTGGACATTTCAACTTTATTCACCACACTATATTTTGACTTTATAATCAAAATTTTAAATTTTTTGGTCTTGACGTTTCAGCTTCACTGACTTTGTGAGGAAGAGGGGAACAAATTTGTCCCCCATACTTTTTTTCGTCAGCATTGCTCTAATAGCCCGTTATAGAAATCAACATGTCCATGTCAAACATGATCAAGTTTAGTGTGCACAACACCGTTCAGACACGCCAGGCTGCCCTTATTTTATAAAGAGAAATAGTAGGTTAAACCATTCATTAATAAAAAAAAATATAACATAATACAGTGTGCCTTAGTGGAGCCCAACAACTCATTTCTCCCCTTGCAGCCATGTTCTAGGAATTTACAAGTAAAAGCCTAATTTTTAGTAAGTCTCTGTGTGCCATACACTGATTAAACCCTGCATCAACCTATGGGAACTTGTTGGCCTTTACAGTAAATCTCCTCAAGGTGCATGTCTATCAGCTATAGAAAGAAACAGCTCAGTGAAAAGTTTCACAACCACATTCCTGTCTTTAACCTCCAGAACTTGGTTTCAGATGATTTCTTCTATATCGCAGATAAAATTATTTTTTTGTATGTCCTGTTTTGCCAATATAGCTCTGGGAATAGATGTCCAAGAGCTAGAGGATAGCAGATTTGAATTCACAAGCAAACCATTATGAGGTTCTGCTTGATACTTGTATATGAAACTTTATTGAAAATTATTTAAGAAGTAAAATCATATACAACAGACAGGCAGACAGAAAAGGAGGTGAGAAAAAAAAGAGGGGGTAAGAACTAAGGGGAGAGAGAAAGCGATAGACAGGAAAGGGTGCATGAAAAGAGAGAAAATTAAACAAAACAAAAATTAGACAACACAGAAGATATACAGTAACTCCAATGAGTCTCCTCCCCCACCTGTATGAGGGACAGAAAACAGGGAACATACCAGCATCAACAAGAAGACAACAGACTACCAAAGTGTTTAATGACAATGTCTTTTGTGACTGTAGATGTATTTTATTTGTATTTTAATTTTGTGAAGCACTTTGTGACCTCAATGTCTGTAAAAGGTGCTATAGAAGTAGACATTACTTACTCACTTACTTACTTACTAAATATAAAAAAGGCTTCCAGAGCAACTATTATCCCCTAGATATCCATGTGTGTGGAAGTCAAAACCTATGGTGATTACATAATATTATTCAGGCTGGTATATATCTGTGTCTGTAGCTTAGTATTTAGCATTAGTGTGCATCAGTGAAAACCTGGGAGCAAACTTCTATGGTATTCATGCATGCATGGGCATGCTCGTGTATAAAGCATTAACAAGGCTTCTTCAGAATGAAAGTATGATTGACAGCAGGTGTGGGCGGCCTCAAACTCACTCTACAGGTCCTGGACAGAAAAAGACGCAATGTCACCCCACATATTCAGAGGTACTCCAGATCAGTGGGACACAAGGAGAGCAGGCATAGAGATGACCGCACCCCACCAGAGAAAGGCAGATGAGAGTACCTGAGGGGCCAAATCCCAAAACAGCCCAGTCCCTGATGGGCCCTTTTGGGTTGAACCCCAGAGGCCATAGTGCCAAGGTCCCACAGGCTCCGTCAACGAGCCCATGGGCTCCATCGACAGACGGTCACACCCATGGCCAACCCGGATGGGAGTCCAGGAGTCCAAGGTCTGGGGGCAAATCACCACCTAGTGGGGACCCCTCAGGGGCCCGGCAGCTGCCTCAAATGAAAAAGCGCTCACCAAAGCACCAAATCCTGCACCTGGAGAACCATCAGTGTGCCTGCACTGTCAATGGCGGGGATTATAAGAAAGGGGAGGAGGCAGTTCCTGTTCTTACTTTGGGCCTAGAATGTTCCAGTAAAATAAAACATCAAATAATTTTCCTCCTGATTTTAATATGAGATATTCTTGTTGTTTTTACTAGTACTGTTTGTACTTATGTGTTAACGTGGGAAGCACTTTGTGACCCCTATCTGTGGAAAGTGCTATGCAAAAAAGTTTACTCATTTGCTTATTTTAATCCCCTTTTAGGGGGGATATAAAAGTATGGTCAGATATTTATAATATTCCAGTTATTACCCAGTCATGGTCGATGACAGAATACTCTCCTGTGGCATTTACTTCCTTTATTACCCCAGGCTCACACAGACTCCGGTCTTACCGTTGCGGTGCGGTGTGTGCGGCGCCGCAAGGATTCCAAGTCATTAAAAAGACGTAAACCTCTCTCACCGGCTGCTGAGCTGTCCGGCTGCGGTTACCGAGACACTCCGGCGCTGCAGAAAATTCCGCAAGAAAGCTATCCTTGCGGCGTGCCGGAGCCCTCCGCAACAAGCTCTCGCAAAAATCCTTTATTTGGGCCGTGTTATCGCGTGAAGTTACGTGAACTCAAGTGAACTTCTGTTAAATCTCCGGACCTGTTGCCGGAGCCGCAGAGCCGCACCGCACCGTAGTCAAAAGGGCGGTGTGAGAGGGGGTGTGCGGGAGTTGCGGTCTCCGTCGGCTCGGTAACTGCACCGGAGCCAGTGTGAGCAAGGGGTTACAGTAATCAACTCTGCTCTTTTTTTCCGTACCCTATCAAAAAAATAATGACTGATATAAACTAAGACTAAACTAGCAAACTTTTAATTGTTAAGTTTTCCCCTAAAACCTTTGATTTCTGAGTCAAATATCAATTAGTTCAATAAAAAACAACTTCAATATTTATAACTCTATTTTCTTTAAAGAAATTATGCCTCTAAACAATCACAGGGGTTGATTGTAATGTAAATTTTTACCTTCTTGGGGACAACTTCTCCAAAACTTTGGACAATACAATATGCTCCTTTAAAGCTTAAAGGTTAAACTTTCTTTTTTTCTCATGACTCATCTAAAGATGAAACAGTGAATGTTTTCACTCTTAGCTGAGGGTTAGATTCAACAGGAAGTCATTCTGAATTATTAGGAGTTCAGATGTGCATTGTTGAGCAGTTGTAAGATTTTATTTTGAAATAGATCAAGTGTGTAGAACTATAATAACTACTAATAAAATACAGCAGTATTTGAAGAACTGCTTTATTGGTAACTGGATATGCTGAGCAAATTGCAAGACATTCTGAATTCTGAGCCATCTCACTGGGGGAGTGTTGTCCTAATGTCTTAGAGCATTGCGCTTGTGCTCTGAGAAGGTTGCAAGTACCTGGGTTCCCACTGCCTCCACTCTGGGGTCCTAAGCAAGACCCTTAACCCCACACTGCTCCACCGGTGCTGCACAATGGCAGCCCACTGTTCCCCGAGGAGATGGATTAAATGCAGAGCTACATTTCTCCATTCCCATTCTCTTGTGGGATCAATAAAGTTCAATTATTAGTATCCCTTAACTATATACAACATAATGTGGAACAAATGCTGTATATGTAATGTGTCTTGCAGGTTGGCGCAAACATTGTTTCCAATAAATGACATTAGCTAACTCACAGAGGTATTTTAAGGCATGAAGTATTAACACCAGAGTACATGGCTTTAGGAAAGGATTCAGGTGGTAGTTAGGTCCTTTTGTTGCAACAAGCTGTTTGCCAACATCTTGCAGCTGGGCTGATTCAGGTCTTGGATGCACTGAAGGATCACTAAAGTCCTGTGAAAAAGTAATTTTAGTCAAGGTAAATTTTCAGAGTTGATTGTCTCAAAGTCTAAAAATAAAGTTCATTTTCATTTAATTGTATTTTGACTACTGTAGATTGATCACAGTGTCAAAATGATCATGATAAAAGACTTAATATGTATAAACAGATGGCTTCATCTCAGTTAAATATAAAATGTGTTGAAGTGGTTCATATATTCAATCAGGCCTAACCTGATGACAATTTAAATAGAATTTAACATTGTGCTTCAAAGCACACTGACACATCAAGACTCTATTTGAGATTTTAAACATTTGAAGGCCAAGAAAAACTAAGAACTTGTGCTTCTTAAACAATTCATGAGCCTTATAGCCAAAAACAGACAAAAATTAAAATCAAAGGAAATATTAAATAGAAAGTGACATTGTGAATGAGGCAAGTACAATGAAGTGAGAATGGTCAAATTTCTATGGTGACTAAAAAGATCTTAATCTGTCCCTTACAGGTCATTGTCTGTGCAGGTCCATCGGAAACCTCGTGAACAGAGTATCTGGATGAGCTCGACGACAGATCCTCGACTGCATGATTCTCTGCACAAAAGTCAAATAATGCATCTTAACTTTTTGGGAAGTAGCTGATATTAAAATAGAAATAGTATAAAGTTTTCAAAAAAGACATGTTTATAATATTCAAAATATTGAACGCATAATTATTTAACATCATAGTCATTCTGTACACCTGTGATGTAAAAAATTACATTACATAGTTTAAACTTTAGTAAAAATAGGAAATTATTTTTTTGAATTTCAATAGGAATGTAAATTTTACTGATGAAATTGTATTGATATGAACAACTTTGTTGGGCTGCAAGGTGTTGTATTGGGATTCGAACCAGCCATGATTTTGGACTGTGAGGGCAAGCTAGAGTACCCGGAGAGAACCCATGCATTCACAGGGAGAACATGCAAACTCAATGCAGAGAGACAAACCCGGAACCTTCTTGCTGCAAGGCGGTAGTCCTACCCACTGAGCAGCCCTCGAACTGGAATTATACTTTTGAAATATGTAATAAAAAGATTAAAACCCTCTGAAACTGAGAGTTTCAGCAGTTGTTACAGAAATATACTCCTGTGTAAGATCAAGAATATTTAACTTACACAAACATGCTCCAAACAACTTCTGGGCGAGGGTCAGAACCGAAACAGCCACTTAAACTTTGAGCAGTGGTGTAAATACTATGTATGCTTCTATTTAAATGAAAGAAGCATGTACAAATATAGCATTAATAGTAAAAGTGCATTATGTTGTACCGCATTAGAATTTGTACCAAAAAAAGATAAGGTTGTTATGACTTGTAAACAACAATTACACAGCATTTCATATACACCACATCCAACACAGATCTGGTAATATACTCACTACTCAAATATGCGATAAAAATTTTACAAACCTACACACTGAAACAAAGCAATTTCAACATTCAAAACAGTCATCCAGACTAGTGGAATTTTAAGAATGCAATTACAACATTAATGAAACTAAATCAACACAATTAAAAATCAACAGCTTAAACTGTCTAACCATTCTTAATGAAGAATAAAAATCTCTACTAGATATTTTCCACTAAGATTGATTGGAACCCACTGCTAATTCTTCACTTTTGATGCCACATTTCCTACCCTAAGGGAAAGACTACTTAAGAGAGCTCTTATTGGTTACAGTATGATATTATATTTTATGAAAAAATAGTTTGCTTTTTTTTTTTTTTTTCGTTATTCTTACATGTGCGGTCCCTCTGGATTTGTCACCACCTTAATGTTGACATAGTTCACTCTTTGGGGATTCAGGCTGTCTAGCTCAACACTTCCAAACATGCTGTGAAAAAAAGAAAAATATTAAAGTTTGAAACAAAGAAAAAAATAAGTGAAATATTCTTCTCACCCTCTCTAATTTACCTTTTTCTGTTGAATGCATTAACAATAGACCCATTTAGCAACACAGTGATGTTGCCGCATGCCATCTCTGCAAACTAAAACAAAGAAGTTGAGATTCAGATGAGCATATCTGCAAGTAAAAGGAGAGAAGAAATAGAGACAATGGAAAATGGGACTTACATTTTTTGAGGCATGCTTCCACAGGGAGTAAACTGGATGGGTTCTGCATATTGACCATGCTGGACAATAGTTGAAATCAAAGTCTGTATCAAATAGACATTATTGCAGTTAGATTTATTCATTGCAGGAATAATTATCTTTAGGGATGCACAAATCCACATTTTTGACTTCTGATCAAAATGGGAAAAAGAAGCTGAAATAATAATTTCATAAGATGATTGGCTAAACCTTTGTAAAACCGATATGAGCACATCCAGCTCTGGTTATTGGAGAGAATCTTCTTGGAAGAATTTAGATTTTTTATTACTTTCAAAATTAAAAAGGATCAGAAAGTATGTATAAATTTATGACAGAGCAAGCAAAAGTAATGGACAACTATAATGTGGAAAGAAACCAATACATTATTTTCTATGTGTGCAGTAGTATCCTAACTTCTGTTATCTGGAAATAAAATCCAGTGCAACCAATTACATTCAAAGATCTCCTTATTACAAAATGAGGTCCACTCTGAAGTAATTATCTAAAAAATAATTAGATTGTACAACAGCAGTGAACAAGCAGCATCAAGACTAAGGAAAACAACAGCAAGGTCAGGGATAAGATGTTGGAATAGCCTTGATATATCAAAATCCAGTTAAGAATCAAATATTTAATGGCTCAGGGAACTAAATCCAAATGAACACCACAGTTTTCAGATATTTTCTAAATATTTGAAAACGAAACATCCCATTTTCTCTCCTCAAAAACAGGTGTTTTTTTTTATCAGTTTATGGTAGAAAGTTAGAGTAAAATGCTTTAAGTTGTGGTTGCAACATGGTGAAATCTTCATAAACTCCAAAGCACACTACTAATAATCCTCAAAATGAACTTTTTAAAATTTGTTCTGTGTTACAGAAGTAAAACTGCTCACCGGAGTCTTCCTCCTGGCCACACCAGATGAGGTCATTGAACAAGTAACCAACCAAAGTATCCTCTAGTGTCCAGAAATGGCGAAAAACAGCTGCATAGCTGTGCACCAACATCCTGGTTTTACTCCAAAAAAGAAACTGATAAAAAAAATATAATAATTTTAATAAAGGATTAAAAAATGTTAACTTAGAATTCCAGTAACAATAGAACACACCCTATCACATGGCCAGATTTGTGGCATCATGTTAAACATTTTGAAATAATGCTCTTCTGTCACGTTACAAGAGGACCGCTGGACGACCGCTTTTTCAAACTGCCTCCAGATCTCCTCACAGTCATACCTAAAAAAGAAAGACAGTCATTACGGTAGGTTTACGTGTGTATTTGAATAACTTTATTTTCTTCCTATCAAAAGGTTATTTTTGGTCAATTTAAATGCTTCCGTTTAACTGTTTAGTCATATGCTTGGATCCAGCACCATGTGAAGGGCCAGCTTCTCCATTAAAGAGATATACCCTCTGTTTTAGAATATTAGCGCTAGTTTACTAGAACCCTGTCCACTTCCCAACATTTTTTATAGGCTATCAGGTGTTTTCCCCGTAATACAAACAGAATGTACAGACGCTCTTTTTATTTTTTTTATTGTAAAGAGAGAACATGCTAACATGCTAAACCCATAAGCCTTATTAGACTTAGACAGATTTATTTTGTTATTTTGTATACAAGAAAATTTGTTTACAACAGCTCTAGACAGTTTCATTTTTGTGAAGTGCAGCCTTGAAAACAGCAATAAATATATAAAAACAGTAATATAAACATATGACTGTATATTTACAGTTCTAACATTCATTTTTATTTTATTTTTTTAATAAAATAACCCATTTTACATAACATTCAGCAGTCTAATTGCAGTTGGAATGGATGCAGTTATGGATGCAGTACTGGGTCCTAGAGGTTGACGCCCATATTTTACCTTTTGTTAGTCTTTTATTCCTTTGAAGCAGACTTTATTGCTTCTAAAAAAATTACTTAAATTATCTTTTTTTTGTATTTTCTATACCTTTGCTTTTACATTTTAAAAACAAAATTTGCAACTTAAGGCTTTTTCCACACACGAAGAACTCTTCAGAACACAGATATTCTGTTGCTCTGTCCCTCATGGCTGGAAATTAGAGTAATACCTTTTCAACAACCTATTGTACTTTTTTTTTTGCATGTTGCAGTTTTAATGTGTCGCAATTACAAAGTAGTAGTAGCTTTTCCAACCTTAGTGGTTTCAGCACAATTAGCTTTCCTAACTGCTCTGAACACAGTGATATGTACAGCATAACTGACATGATCAAAGGCTCTGTCACCTGAAGCAGGAGTCCTACAGTGGAAATAAGATTTTTAATTTTAAATATTAAAAGCTGTATTTTAAGTTTCTGTAGGTTATGTTTAAGTTTAAAAAGTGAGGATTTCAAAACTTCTCTCTAACATTTAATCAATGTTGTCACCAAGACTAATCTAGTTTTGCTTCAACCTTTCAAAGGAAAATAAAAGGATTTATTGTATTTTACGATAAAGGCATGAAATGTGATAATAGATGTGCAATCTGTTCACAGTCCATTACCTTGAACCAGTCTGAACCAGTGTGGTGTAAGTGAAGCATCTTCCTATCACAATGTGTTTAATGTTGGGAGTTGTCCCAAACATGGCTTGCACTGATGCCAGACAGAGATGAGGCACAATAAGCCCTTCGGGTAAAGAAGTAAAAGAAAAAAGACAGATGTTACATTTAAAAGTGGCTTACTTTGTGAAAGAATGCTTTGCAACTACTTACATATTGTGAAGCTGATTATTAACAAGCAGGCTGGTTTCATAGAAGGCATAATGGTGGAAATCTCACACCAGAGTCTTTGAAAAGAAACTTGTTTTAACTTGACATCAAAAACAGGTGTTCATATTCATTCTCAACATAGCTCAAAGCTATAGGCATATTTTTAACAACTCAAATGTCTCGTTTTCTGTCACCTTTTGGTTTTTGTTGCTTTATGAAATCTGAGTTCAAATGCAACAAAAAATAAATAAAACACATTTTTTAACTCATATACTCATCTTTGTTTTTGTACATGAAGGTAAAATACATTTTGGAAGAAGTTCTGAAGACATGCAGAACTTACCCTCTATCATATCAAATATTGAGCTGCAAAGAAATTCCACAGCTGTAAAAGGAAAAGAACTGGCTCCAAGTTG